GTTGTTATTGTTGTGGTAATTTCCTCATCGTGTACACTATTAAATACTATGGCAGTTTTATTTATTTATTATGTAATACATTTAAAAATAAAACAACAACAAAAACAGCGAACACTTCTTTAACAATTATTTTTTGTTTTAGTATTTATAATGCGAAATTAGAAGAGTGGATGCTTAAAATAATAAATGTAAAAACAATGATATTGCAGAGAAAAATTTGGCAATTTTCAATCCTAATATCCTGATCCCCAATAAGGTTTATTTACTTTAGAAATGTGCCAAAAAGTGGTAATAAAGCTCCTATGGCGCCTAAAAGTATGCTTATGCACAATGATATTGCAGACAGTAATCACTACTTTCTGAAAAAAATTGGAAGTTATCAGTCTTGTTACCCTGATCTCGAATGCGGCTGCTTTAATCTAGAAATGTGCAGAAAAATAAAAATAAAGTTCCGATGGCGCATAAAAGTGTACTTAAGCGCAATGATATTACAGAAAAGAGTCACTACTTTTTTTTACAATTTTAGGAATATTCAATCTTAGCACCCTGGTTTCGAATAAGATTTCTTTACTCTAGAAATGAGCAAAAAGTGAAAAGTATGCTTAATTTTTATGGAACTTAATTTTTTCAGTATATATAATAGCTAGTGGTTTCAGTATTTCTCTCACTTGCGGGATTTCTTTACGTTAAAAAATCTCAAAAAAATTAAAATATTGCCCCTAAGCCGCACCGATTCCAATTATTTCTCCTATACACTTTGAAATATTCACAGTCTTCAGAAACATCCAAATTGTCGAAATTTTTAATCCAAAATAGGACGATGGGGATATCTGCTTTATGGCTCTTAAAAGTATACTTCGCACGGTAAAAACTTAATGGAGCAATTGATTTATGTTTAAAGCCTCTGAATAAACATATTCACTACTTTTTTAACCTCTCTATATTTTCGTAGTGAATTAAATGTCCTAACCTTCTCCGCAACCCATGACTTTTGTTAGACTTAATGAACAATTTTCCAATGAAACTTTGCCAAGTTTACTCTGCAATATCGCTAAAAATTAATCAGCTTATTTCTTTAAATAAATTGTAATAGATTTTCTAAATATTTTCTAACTTATGCATATATGTAAACATAAATTCCAAGTGACCTGAGTAATGTGCTAATAATAAGGTGGCTTTAGCGCGAGCTTAACATGAATACTTAAGCTGTAAGTCTAAAGTTAAAATTAGTATACCAAAAGATATCTTGATATATACATATATTAGATCATAATAACAAAACCTAAATAAACAAAGTTACAGAATCGTACTAAATTTGATAATAAATATAACGGTTTTTAAATTAATCACAAAGTAACAGGTTACCTACTTTCGTTATGCTGTTTCATAACCTAACTTTTCTTATCTCACCTGATCAGTAAGTCACTAAAGCTCTGATGGTTAATAAGCTTTAATTTCAATGCAAAATTTCACTTTTTTGTGGGAGCTTTCATTGAAACTAAGCGAGCTTTCATGGTAAGCACTTGATTTTGCCTAATCAATAAATCATTAAAGTTCTGATGGTTAAGAAGCTTTCATTTCGATTCGAAATTTAACTTTTTTGCGGGAGCTTTCACTGTAACTAAACATGCTTTCATTATAAACTCCTGAGCTATCAACGTGACCATAACTACTGGCAATCTATTGCAGATTCACATTTGTTTCATAAAATTTCATTAGTCTTACAATACAAAAACGCAATATTTTAAACGATGAAAGCTCTGTTGGTTTTAAAGGCTTACAATATGGATGAAAAACTTAACTTCGCTACTAAAGTTAGAGCTTTTTCTGTCAAATGAGCTTACATCGCAACTAACACAACTTTTGCTTATATTTGCATGTAGTTTTATGTTTCAGTTAAATTAAGTATACGAATACATACACTATACACAGATCAATAAAATATAACATTAAAAATAGTAGCTTTCAACTTCAATTCCTGAACTAAATACAATCTAATATTTGGAAGTAGATTTTACACATATTTTTATTGCCAACTACTTAACATATCTACATACATATATTTTATATATATTTATAAAGAGGTATTTATGTGCGTGAAAATCACTTGCTTAAAACATTTCAAGAATCACTTTTATATATGGATTATGAAAGTATGAGCATATGTATGTATGTAACTATTGGAGTTTATTGAAAACAAGGTTGTAGTTATAATTGATATTAGTGTAGTTTAGTTATAAAAAGAAAATTACAGTGATGTGCTAAAGAATAGGTACAGGAAAAATATAAAAAAGGTATTGAAATTAAAATTGTTAATTAATGCTTTGTTAATTTGTCTTTTATAAAGATATGGAAAGATTTCAAAAAAATATCAATATATTTTTTAAAATAGGTTTTTGATTATAATAACATTTCTT